CATGATTCAATGCAAATAGCGAGAAAAGAATGTACCATGGGTAGTCCACATGACTGATTGAAGAAGTACCTCCAAAGGACAACAAAGATGAAATGCCAATGAAAAGGTAAGGTGACAATTTGGGAGAGAAGACACTTGGAACACAGCATGGGAGGAAGACGATAAAGAGGAAGAAGCCAATGAAATGAAGAGTCGAACCCGAAGGATGAAGGAGAAAGAACATGAACAGAGCAAGGATACTAAGGAAGAAAGAGGCAGGAATGGACATCACAGAAAGAAGCCGTGAGGAAATATAACAGAGAAGAGCACGTATAGGACATCAAAGTCTATTTGGATCAGGAGGAGGATAAAGGTGTGAAACAGAAGGTAGGGAAAGCAGCTAAATGGAAGAGTTATACTCCCGAGCTGTCAAAGTATTAGGGAGGAAAAACAATCTGAAAAAGGAGAAGATATGTAGAAGGATAAAGAGTACACAAAACATCGATGGCAAATAAACAGACCACTGACGTCCACAAGCAAATTGGAGATGGAAGGAAAAGAAGGAGCACTGGGAAAGTAGTTCAAATGTAGGAAAAGTGAGGCAGTGCAGGACCACATTAATATCCCAATCCAGAAGGAACACATCCAGAGGTAAAGTGTAGGAGAGGTAAGTACCCGCGGGATCAGGAAAGACGAAAGGTGTGGGACAAGACCACCCGAAAATCGGAGACCAAGGAGACAAAAGACCCCCAATCCAAAAGTCAGTAGAGGAAATCTGCATGATTAAGAACAGTGGGTTGATCTGGAGAAAATCCCTGGACCCAGAAACCAACAATGGAAAAATTCCATTTGTATTGAGAAACTTCTATGTAGGAAGTGTGAACGAAACAAGCCAAAAAAGAAGCTAGCTGCCGGATCACCTCACCAATAACCAGAGGAAAATCAGGTGTGAAGATGGAGGAAAGGAATGTCTGGATGAAACACCAGGGACTGAGGGTGGCAAAAAAGGGACAGAGACAGAGGAAAGGGTAACTGAGGAGGAAGTTGGAAATGGAGAAACCACAGCTGAGATGGCCAGAAAAGAGCTATCAAAAGAACTGAATACGGAGTGTCACAGATGAACAAAATCACCCAGAAAAGATGGAAAAGGAGAGGATAGACAAATGTGTAGGCCCAATCCTGGCTGAAAACAATGATAGCCAGAGCAAGAAGATGAGAAACTGGAGACCAAAACCAAGGCAATTTTTGGTTAAGGGACATAGCAAAAGCCTCAATGTAAGGAGTACACCACTGAAGTAAAAGCCACTGGAAAACAAAAAGGATTGAGAGACCAATCCATCAAATAAATGTTGTCTAGAAAGGAATCTGATGCACGACAACAGTGAAAGCAACAAGAACATGACACAATGATAGGAACATCGAGCATATAGGCCCACATAAAGATCCAACGTATAAATACAGAGGGATGGAGAATGGGTGCCACCCTAGTGATTGAGATAAGCAACCACCAAAGAAAAGTGGGAGTGGATCATCACCAGAAGATTTTTGGTCAGATGGAGAAAATGAACCAAAACATGACCTACAGCAAGAAGCTCAAGGACTTTGATAAGGCCTCTCGGCTGCAGACCAAAAACCCAGAATCCTCCAGTTGATAAACCCATGCCCCCATCCCCAAAAGGAAGTGTCCAAGAAATGTGAAAAACCAGATGAGGAGGAGGAAGTGGGACACCCACCAATGTATGACATCTAACCAACAATGCCAATCAATGACATGGGTAGGAAGAAGGTTAATAAGAGCAGACAAAGGATCCCTGCAAAATTTCATTGGTCATGAAAAGCCCAGAAAAGAGTCTGACCTAAGGTAATAAGGGCTACCATGGATGATCACATCCCCAAAAGCGATAGAACTTCTCGAGCTGTAATTGAACTAAAAAATCATTGAATGAAGTCAAAGAAGGGCAGGCCCAATAGAGATGTGTGTAGAAAAAGAAAAATGCCAAAATGAACAAGATATTGGATAGGTCACAGTAAGAACTTCTCTAACTTGATTAACCCTTTCAAAACATGGCTTATGCTCTTAACCCTTTCAATATGGGTCACAGGTGAAAGGCCATGTCATCTCATTTGTTTACTCGCATTCAAAATTTTATTGAACTACTATTTCATGACACATGTCAATAAGTTTGGTATCAAAATGTAGATTATAATTCAAATTTTAGTACTATATATTGCTCAATTTCTTAATTTAATAGTAAATATTAAAAAAACACATATAAATCTCGATTTTTGTGTGACAAATGGTATGTTGAATGCAGCACTACTTCAAATTAGATGTTTGTGAAGTCAAAATACTATAATTTTGAACGAATTAGAAACCCAAATGACTGATATTGACAAGCTAGAATGTAAATTAAGAGCCTCTTATATTTTCAATTTGCTAAGATATTGCTCATGTAATAAATCAAACACAGTGGCACCCCACCCACCTCTTTCCATTTTTGGAAATGCTCCTTTATATACACTTACTGCTATATATGATATGAATAACCAATCAGAAGCTCAGAATGTCACCCTAGTTTAATGGACTTGGCACCATTTCTTTCTTTTGAACCACTATTTCAACGAGGAAGGTGTCTTTTGTCTGCTTGAAATTTCAAATTTTTTAGACTAAAATACATCTTAGTTACTAAGCTAGATAAATTATAGTGGAATTCTATGGTATTAATGTATTAATATATTACTTTTTTAGTTATTCAAATGTGTATATATATATAAAACCTAAAAAAATATTTTGTTTCATATCCTCCATGTGCTATTTTTTTAAAGGCTTAGCTAACCTATGTCAAGCAGCAACTGAGTACAAGGT